AATGACTGCTGTCCTTATAGGAAGAGGAGAGGACACAAAGACACACACAGAGAAGAATGCTATGTGAAGCAGAGGTAGAGATTTATGTTATGCTGCCTATAAATCAAGGAACATTTGGGCCACCAGGTGCTGGACAAGGCAAGGGAGGATTCTTCCCAGGTTCTGTGAAGAGCATGGATCTGCTGACATCTTAGTTTTGAACTTCCAACTTCCAGAATAGCGAGAGAATAAATTTCTATTGTTTTAAGCCATCCAGCTTGTGATACTTCATTATGGAAGCCCTCAGAATTAACACAAAGAGGTTCAGGAAGTAAGCAGGGGTAAAATTACGCAGGAATTAGTGTACAATCTTTAATTCTTCAATACCAGAAATTCATTGTGAGTGCCTGTGGTTTTGATTCATTTCTTATTTTATTCTTATTCAGTCCAAAATGTATTTAAAACTTCTTGAAGATGTTTTGACTTCCCCAGTTCTTACAGGTTTTTCTTTATAGCACTTCGAAAGAGTCCTAGGCTAAGTTTACTCTAAAATATATATATATTTTTAAATTTTTCCTGTGCCTCAGAAAGGTTAAAAAGTGTGTGTCATACCCATGTAGAAATGTTGGTATAACTGGGAGGAAAATCTTAGTAAGCAGATAATATGAAATGTTAATATCCCATTGTATGCATATGAAATCTGTTTAAAGTCTCTGGACAACTTGGAAAGGAACAGAGAGAACTGAGAAAATAACACTTTTTTGACAAGCAAATTTGCTGATCAAGATCAGTAGTTTTTAATAGAAAGATTAGTAAATAACCAGACCTCACTCATAGAACATTAATGAAATTTTCTCATGTAATAGATATCTAAAACAACTTCCTTAAATCAGCAGTTAAAATATTTTTGTATCATAACAGGGCTGTTTTCAAATATCTCTTTCTCTCTCTCTCTCTCTGTGTATGTGTGTGTGTATATATATACTTTCTTTTACAATGACTGGTTAGAGTTTTAAAGGTTAATTTATTTCTGTCAAGGTGGGGTCATTCTTGTAGAATGAGAAAATAATTTATTTTATGACACTCACAGAAATAAGGCTAGATTTTAGGGTTTAATTAGCAAATTCAAGCTTGAATGAATTCATTTTCCTTAAGTTCACCTTCTTCTGTCATAAATATGAGGACTAGCTATTTCCTGCATGTTGCAATAAAATATACAATTCAGATGAATAATCTTTTAAAAGTACAATAAGATTTTCATCAATAACTGAGAAGGAACAATGTAGGGTTAAATATTTCCTCTCAAAAAAGAAACTTTCACTTTTACTCAAAAAGTGTCTTCAATGTCCCCCTCCCCAAATTGGGAAGGCTGCATTACTTAAATTTGATTTTTTCCCACTGTATAATCTTTGATCACTGCAATTAATATATAGATAGAAAACAAAGCCACTGAGTAAAAATTTGAAGATGAGATCATATCATTCAGATTAAATTCACCCAAGGGGATCACAGAGACAGTCAAGGGACAGTTTTCTGAAGGTCAACAATCAGTATGGCTCATAGAAATTTAGGAGATTTTTATATGGTCAAGATGCCTCATTAATAATCTGAAAGCAAGGTCTTAGACCATACTGCTGTGTTCTAAAGGGAAATTCTGACAAGTTTATATTAAAAAAATGTGAGAGAAAGATAACAAAACTTTTCTCATTGCAACATTTAAATTCTTCTACAAAGCAGGACTTTCCTAACAGAATTAATTAAAGAAAAATTTACCATGATACTAATAAAGTATAAGTTTCAGCAACCTTTACTTTTCTTATTGTGGATAAACCCTCACAGTATGTTCACATATCTATCTGGTTTTGAAAAACTTTTTTACAGAAGTTATTTTATTTGCAATAGATTGACTACAGCATTTTCCTACTTTGATCTCCAAATGTATCGCACTTTCCTTTATGTAGGTGTTGGAATGGCTGAAGGTTACTTTAGGGATCTGGCTGAAGGGGAGTTGAATTCAGGGTACGTAGGGTTGTGGATTAGGGTATAGAGTCACTTATACGTGTAATTCATTTAACTGACTTGTTACCGGAATTGCTACCAGAAATCTTCCTAGCAAATGGTGACAATTTACACAGCCTCATAATGTAAAGGTGCAGGTGAAGGTCGGGGAGCAGAGGCAAAAACTAAATATACAAGCCAGAAGCTAGCCTGTGAAAAAAATTATTAGTGGAAGATTTGGTTCTTATCAATACCAACACAAGATAGAAGTTTTCTCTTGTCAGAAAAATGCCTGAGAATGCAGTGCGTACAATTTATTTATATTTTCTTTGCCTTTTTTCATTTTTGAAGGGAAGTGCCCCAAAATGGAATTTACTACTACAGCAAGTATATATGTGCATAGTTGCATGTTTTATACATTCCAACTATTAGTAAGAGAAACACAATTTTCTATCAGCCGAGTTTAAAAAAATTGAATAAATAAATTGAATTATCTTTATATTATTTCAACTGAAAATGATAAAATCATTGTAATATGAAAGCAAACATGTAAGAAGCAAATAAGTATTACGGAAGTGTACCAGAAACAGTTGCAGCAGTACATTGACAGGGAAATGCCAGAAATTTAAGCCAGATTCAGAAGAGGACATGAATAGTGAGATATCATTGCTGATGTCAAAAGGGTCCTGGCTGAAAACAGAGAATAGCAGAAAGATGTTTACCTATGTTTTATTGACTATGGAAAGGCATTCAACTGTGTGAATCATAACAAATTATGGAAAACATTGCAAAAAATGGGAATTCTAAAACAATTGTGCTCATGCAGAAGCTGTACATAGACAAAGAGGCAGTCATTAGAACAGAACTAGGGGATATTGCCTGTTAAAAATCAGGAAAAGTGTGTGTCAGGGTTGTATTCTTTACAATATTTATTCTGCCTGTATCCAGAGGAAATAATCTGAGAAGCTTGACTATAAGATGAACATGGCATCAGGATTGGAGGAAGACTTATTAACAGCCTGCAGTATGCAGATGACACAATCTTGCTTGCTGAATTTGAAGAGAACTTGTGGAATTTACTGACGAAGACTAAGGACTACAGCCTTCAGTATGCATTACACCTCCATATAAAGAAAACAAAAATCCTCACAATTGGACCAGTAAGTATCATCATTATAAATGGTGAAAATATTGAAGTTGTCAAATATTGATCCACAATCAACACCCATGGAAGCAGCAGTCAAGAAATCAAATGATGTGTTGCATTGGACAAATCTTCCCCAAAAGACCTCTTACAAGCGTTAAAAAGCAAAGATGTCACTTTGAGGACTAAGGTGTGCCTGACCCAAGCCATGGTATTTTCAAGTGCTTCATATGCATGTGAAATCTGGACAATGAATAAGGAAGACCAAAGAATTGATGCCTTTGAATTATGGTATCGGAGAAGAATATTGAACATACCATAGTCTGCCAGAAGAAGGAACAAATCTGCCTTGGAAGAAGTACAGCCAGAATGCTCCTTAGAAGTGAGGATGGTGAGACTTCATCTCATGTGCTTCGACGTGTTATCAGGAGGGACTAGTCCCTGGAGCAGGACATCGTGCTTGGTAAAGTAGAGGGTCAGTGAAACAGAGAAGGACACTAGAAGAGATGGACTGATAAAGTGGCTACAACAAAGGGTTCAAACATAATAATGACTGTGAGGATGGTGCAGGACCTGGCAGTGTTCTGTTCTGTTGTAGGTAGGGTCACTGTGAGTCCGGACCGACTTAATGGCACCTAACAACAACACTCACCACAATCAGATTCAATGTGCGAAAGAATAGATCAATTTCTGGACAGCCAGAAAATTAAACCTCAGGCTGTCTGTTGGAATTGACTCCACAGCAATGGGTTTGAGGTTTTTTTTTTTTTTTGGTATCTGATATTTAATATCAAGGATATTATCTTTGATATTGCAGTGGTGGTTTTCCCCCAGGACACTTTCTTATCACCAGGTAATACTGACAGCATTGTTTATGCACTGTTTTATACTCTCTGGACTACATTAGTCCCTCCTCCCACAGAGCCAAAATGCAGGTTCAAATAGTTCAGCAAGTTTGTTAGAACAATAGCTATCAAATAGGTTAGATTTTTAGTCAATTCTTATTTCTCATCCAGTGTCAAACTAAGAATTGTTTTTCTTTTTCAAAATGGATTATCGAAACAATTCACCTTTTATGAGAAATGAGTGCTGGAACTTTCCCTGCTTGAGTGACATTAGCATTATCTTTGATTGTGGTGATAATTAGATCTGTGTTCTATCCTGAGGTTCTACATCTGGCCAATTATTTCTTTGACTGAGTTGTATTTCAGTGTTAGCAAGGACAGCAGAAGGCACTCCATGCCTCAGGGTGTCTCATCTGGCCACTTCTCTTTGACCTGTGAACTCCTACACAGTAGAGTCTTTAACTTTCACCAAGCTGTCCAGCTGTGTTTTGGATTCTTTTTTTTGGTCTTTATTAAGTCTTGAGATATGAATAAGCAATTATTAATAGAAACTCTTATATCTATAGTGTAACGATTTCGTTACATAAGTGACAAAGGTCCTTTATAGAAGCGTTCTTTAAACTATCTTAGTGAATATTCCACAGCTTGAGGTGGAGAAGAGAAAAATTCAAATATGTTTATGAACATTAAATCAAACTTAAAGAAAAAATGATCTATCTCTTTATCAGTATATATAACTGTTAATAGGAAATATGGGATATTTCCATGGCCACTCTTTCTTTTAGAATTCTGACAACATTGCAGTGAGATCTCAAGGAAATTGATCATCAGTGTTCCCTGATGTTGGATATTTTATATATATAATACCAAAACAACCAAATCCATTACCATCGAGTCGATTCTGACTCATAGGGACCTTATAAGACAGAGAAGAACCGCCCCGTAGGGTTTCCAAGGAGCGGCTGGTGGACTCGAACTGCTGAGCTTTTGGTTAGCAGCCAAACTCTTAACTACTGTGCCCAGGGCTTCAAAAGTGGAGATACTGGGGATTGAACCCAGGGGCTTGTGCATGCTAAACACGTGCTCTACCACTGAGCTATACCTCCAAGTTCTATATATATATATAAATCTATGTTTATATATATATATATATATATATTTAGAAGCACTAAGGTTATAGTGCTGAGAGTACTGTTTGTATGGTAAACTGTAGTTTTCAGTGTTCTTCAATAAACTTTTAACACAATAATTAGTCAATCAACATGAAATGTTTGGTAACATCTATTCAAAGAACCGACTTAACAAAAGAGACTGTGGCCAAACGGGACCAAGATAGAGTATAAAATGGAAAATCAAACTTCTTTGACCAAATTCAATTGCTCGGTATAACTGACATTTGAATGACTTCCTTCAAAACTAATCAAATCTTTTACTAAAGCAAATACTTTATTACATTGGCCAAAATTCCTTCCTTGTATTCAGTATGTTCCCCAGAATCAATCCATATTTAGGGCAAGGAACAAGTTGTAGGTGTCTGTAAGAAGTAGCTATGAGTTGGAATCAACTAGACAGCAGCGGGTATAACAAATAAAAGAACATGTTTAGCCAATGGGTTTCTTGACTGCCGAAGCATTTGTGACCATTCCTATGATGAATAGCCCGAGTGATTTGTCATTTAAAAAGAACTCATTTTGCGAAGGCCATAAATTCAAAGTTGAAATAAACAATGTGTGACTCACTAGGAAAAAAAGGGAGAGTTAGATTAGGAAATATAAAAATAAAGTGTGGCTTTAAAAGGATACCTTTTTATGTAATTCTTCCTGCCAAATTATAGGGGACCCTTTGTTAGCAATCCTGTGATTTATTCAATTCAGGAAATACTTTTGAACAACTACTATGGGTAGGTATGCTACTAGGTGATGTTGAATATGGCCATGGAATAATCAGCATAAATTGTATCCAAAAAAAAAACAAACAAATTCTGTAGTCAGAACAAGAACCTATTTGGCTACATGCAAAATACGGGGATAATTTCAGGTTAATCATCTATGAGCCAAGGATTAAAAAAAAAAAAAAAAAAGAGTGGCTAGCAGAGCAGCCATGAATAGAGAGCAAAATAGGTGCATAGGCTAAGATTCCATGTATTTCTCTCCCAATCACCCAACTCATACAAAAGGAAAATGCTAAATTCCTGCTGGAAAATCTGTTTTCTGTTGGCCAAACAATGCTGAGAGTTCTGTTTCAATTTTTGTGTACATGAGTCTATGTAATAAAAGAACTAGCCCAATCTCTGACACTTAAAGAGGCATCTCTGTGTGGGTTCAGACCCACAAACTTGCAGTTAGTAGTTGAGCATTTAATTGTTTATACTAACACTCCTTCCTAGAATACTAGAAGACAATAAACTTATTTTGGTGAAAACATTTTTGCAAATATGCCAAGAAAAGGGTTCAATTGACCCATGATCTAGTTGAAATCACCAGTTGACTGGAATAGGTTGCAAAATAGCCGGCAACACCTTATGTGAAGTCCTTTGGTGTCCTTATACCATTGGTGTGGCAATCATATGCAGTTGCTCCTTGAATGGCATTGCCCAAAACATGAAATAATCTCTCAAGTCTAATCAATTTGGAAATTATCTTTTAATGACTTAGAAATAATAGTTAAAAAGCACCGTTTCAGTTAAAATTAGGCCAAGGTACCCTAGGCCTGTTATATTATGTGATATGGAAGAGTTTAAGTTTGGTCTGGACACATACAAATATTACAGAGGTAACTTTGGCCCCCTAAGTCAATTAGATGGACTCCCAGGCACCTAACAACCATCAACCATATGTAAGTGTTAAATAGGTCATCACCAAAGAGAAAGTCAAGGGCATGAGTGACTTTGGTTCAATAATACTCCTACCAAATAGTAGTGTTTCCACAGCTGCTATGATAATAATAACAACAATATTATTATTATTATCATTATTGTTATATAATTCTCTGGGGTTCAAAGCATGACTCAAGCATGGAGCAAACCTGGATTAAACTAATCAAGATGTGAAATGGTCCTTTTATGGATTGAATTGCGTCCCCTCCAAAAATACATGTATGGTAAATCCTAATCTCTATACACGTAGATAAAAGGAGCCCTGGTGGCACAGTGGTTAAGTGCTCGGCTGCTAACAGAAAAGTGGGTGGTCCACACCCAGCTGCTCCTCAGGAGAAAGATGTGGCAGTCTGCTTCTGTAAAGATTACAGCCTTGAAAACCCCATGGGTGTAATCCCATCTGAGAAAAGGATTTTCTCTGTTATGTAAATGAAGTCATATCTGTATAGACTGTGTCTTAAACCAATGACTTTTGAGACATAAAAGGAGCAGATTAGGCAAAGAAGCAAGCAAGAAAAAATGGGAAAAAGATAAATGGCACATGATGAACTCCAAGGAATGCAGAGTAGAAATGATATTCCTTTAAATCTGACAGAGAGCCTTCCCCTACAGCCATTGCCGTGAATTTGAACCTCTAGCTTCCTAAACAGTGAGAAAATACATTTTCTGTATTAAAGCCATCCACTTGTGGTATTTCTGTTATAGAAGCACAAAGAAACTAAGTTGTTGTCGTTATGTGCCAACGGTTCTGACTCATAGCTACCTTACGTACAACAGAATGAAACTCTGCCCTGTCCTGCATCATCCTCAGAACTGTTGTATGTTTCAATCCGTGGTTGCAGCCAACATACAATCCATCTAGTTGAGGGTCTTCCTCTTTTTTGCTGACCCTCAACTTTACCGAGCATGATGTCCTTCTCCAGGCACTGGTCCCCCCTGATAACGTGTCAAAAGTAAGTGAGATGAAGTCTCATCTTCATTTCAAAAGAGCATTCTGGTTGTACTTCTTCCAAAATGGATTTGTTCATTCTTCTGGCAGTCCATCGTGTATTCCATACTCTTTGCCAACCCCATAAATCAAATACATCAGTTAATCTACGTCTTCCTTATTTATTGTCCAGCTTTCCTATGCATATGAGGCTATTGAAAATACCATAGTGTGGGTCAGGCACGCTGTAGTCTTCAAAGTGACATCTTTGCTTTTTAACTAAAAGTTTGGTGAAAAGTCTGCCTTGCAAGGTGCTGAAAATCTAAAACCATATAAGTGGCAAGTGCAAGAGTTAGAAATTCCTGCTGTAGAAGAAATTTCTCTCAGTACCGTAACGATAGCTTGTCACATGCCCTCCCTGGAATTATCAGGCTGCCCTGAAGTAGAGAATGAGAAGCATTATAACAAAATGGGGGGGGGGGGATTATAACAACTGATCTGCGACCTCTGGGACAACCAGATAATCGACTCCTATTATGGCCTGTAGGGGACAAACAGGTATAGTGTCCTAGAATTAAACTGAAAACAGTCTAATATTAGGCTTGTCATGTTATACACAAAACCTGCTTTGTCACATGGTATTCTCTTTAGGAAAGGAGAAGTTGAATAAAATTTCATTATTGGAGTTTCATTAAAAGATTTGACAAAGGAGAAAAGGCTTTAAGACATATACTATATTGTTTGAGTAGAAGATACTACCGATGATATGATACAGTCTTAGTTCAGAGATGCTAACAAGAAAAGACAATGGTCGTCTTCGAAGCAATGAACTATGGACGTCAGAATGATGCTGGCTTGCTAGAAAATTTGTAGTTGGTTATGATATTCAGTTCAGATTTGTGTGCTTCATGTTCCTTCCACATAGCCAAAGAATAAAGGGTAAACCTAAGAGCAAGACTTGACTAGTGTCTGCTCCAAAAGTAGACAGAGGAGCGTGCTGAATATTCTGAAAAGGAGACCCACTTCAACTGGTATAATAGGTGTGGCTTTCTCTGAAGGCATTGTAACTGTAGTTCAGCTTGTCACCCCTGGGACATAGGGACTGTACTTCCCCAGGCACTTTGAGGAGCCAGTGTCAATGAGATGTTGTCAGTATAGATCCACCTGTTATGCAAACTTGGTATTTCTATCAATTATTTTATATGCAAATAATCAAGTGAAACAAATAAGGGCTTATTGATAGGTAAAAAACATAGAGGCATTTCCTGTGGGCTTCCAAAAAACCAAGCCAATTAAATAATAAATAATGAACAGAATTTATTATTTAAGAAAGAGACTAGAGCATTGTTATTCATGCTTGATCATCACCCTAGAAATTCAAAGTTTTAATATTCATCCAAAAATAATAAGTCATATTTATGTACCAGATAGTTTAAATAAATTAACATTTTTCTATAACAGCAATACTGTGAGGTGGTTATGTTTCATTTTCCCAATTTTATAGATAAATAAACTGAGGCTCAGTTCATCCGAAGTCATGCAGTTAGAACATAACACATGTGGGATTTGAACACAAGTAGTCAAACTGCCCAACCTATTCCATTAAACACTATACCATGAATGTTCAGTAAAGCCTCTTGAAACAAAATAGACCTTAAGAAATGAGAATTTTCACATGCATCAGCAATATTTAGTTGAAAATTTAATAAAAAATCTCATTTGCAAATTATAAATGTACATTATAAAATAAATTTAAAAATTTTAAACTACACAAGTTTATTATTTATATACATTATTTATAATAAAAATAGAGATTTTGTAGGAATCAATTTAATTGAATGTGCAATATTTATGCATGGGTCAAATATAAAATGGAGGGTAGTGCCATTTCTGGTTGGGAAAATCAATATTTAAAAGTGACAATTCTATTCATAAACTCAATGCAATTAACTTACAAATGTAAATTAGTTTTTTTTTCTTTTTTTCACAGAATTAGACATGCTGGTTCTCAATTCATACAAAAAAAAAAGATAAGAAGAGCCAAAACAAAGCAAAACAAAATGACAAAGAAGAATGAGAGTTGAACTCAAGGGTATCTAAACACATAGAAAACTTAAATTTTCTTAAGGGGCTGGGCTGGGTACAGGGTGAAATGTTGATTCTGAATGGGGATTCCAAAAGTAGCCCACGCAGGGATTCCTGTAGAAGTAAAAACTGAGTCATATCTAAAAAGTACGATATTTCAGATGAGATAATGATACAAAATGCAATAAATCTTATTAATTCCATTGCAAACATTGTCC